TTGATTGCAGCTGGTGACTCCTTTTCTTAGATGCTGAAGGCACACCAGCTGGCCTGTCCCAAATATGTGCTTGTACAGCACGGCAAGGCCTGTCAAAACAGGCACACTCCAATATTTGCAGGTCAGAAAATACCTCAGTTTTGAAGCCTGGCTTGGGATGAGGAGCCCTGTGAGCCAGTGCTGACCTGAGGCTGAAGTGTAACTTGTCCCTCCTTGAATGTCCCTGTGCCTTGACTTGCTGTGGAATGGCTTTGATCCTGTTTGACTCCTGACTGTCCTAGCCTTTGGAAGTGGGTCTTGCTTGTGGGGCTGTGTGTACCCTGTGTGTCTGAGAGCTGGGCTCTGTTGCGTGGGATTTGCTGCTTAATCTCTGGCCTGCCCTGAGTTACTGTGGTGCAAGTAACTCCTCTTTTTTTTTTTTTTTTTCCCCCCCTCTTCTTCCCCAAGGTCCCAGTGATCCCTGTGGTGTATTCTTCCTTCACTACCTTCTATAACCCAAAGAAGAATCTATTTACATCAGGTACCAAAGAGCCTCAGGGTCTTTACAGTCACTTGGAGGCAGGGTTGATGCCATACTCATGTGGAGATCTGGTTCACAAGGGTGTGAGAGGGAGGCAGAGCTGGGGCGAGCAGGAATCGCATCTGGGAGATGTGTGGGGACAGTTCAAAGCACTTGGCAGCAGAGCATGGGCTGGATTAACTCAGGAAAGAATGTAAGTCAATATAGTGAGGGATGTTTTCATTGAAAATTGAACACCACCTTTCCCTTTTATACCTGGCACAGCCCACATCATTTGGTGAGAGCTTGGGGGAAGAGGCAAGCATGCTCTGCCTCCTGACCTTTCCAAACAGGGACCCCTCTGCAAGCGAGCCAAGGAAGCTGATTCTGTCAAAGCTCATAAGTCTGTCAGTACAAGTGCTGGGCAGAAAGTTGGCTTTCAGTCAACTTGGAGCAGTACCTCTGATTTTTGGGAGGAAGCCATGCTTGCTGTGCTCCCTGCATGGATGGCTGGAGCCAGCCAAAGGTAGGAGGGCTGGGTAGAAGCAGATGGAGGGAGCACCTGGTGCAGGCTGTGCCTGGCATGGCCCTGGAGCTGGGTGAGTCCATGGCCCTGGGCTCCCCCTACTCTCTTGGTCTGCAGGGCAGAGCAGGGACACCAGCCTTGGAAAGGGGCAAGCTCTGTCTGTGGCACAAAGGAAGCGCTCTGCTTGGGGCAGCTGAGGCTAATCCCCAGAGCAATCTCTTACCCCTGAGATCAAGGCAGCCTCCACCTGCACTCCTGGGATGGATACCTGGAGCCCTGTGAGGGGATGAGGGCTGTGCTGGAGCTGCCCAGGATGGGGGGGAGCAGGGTCCTGGGGGGGGGCAGAGAACAGTGTTCCTGTGGTGTGTGGGTTTCTCACAGGCTCTTCTCTTGTTCCTAGGCAAAATCAAGGTTGAAATTCTGCCTCCGATAGAGACCAAAGGCCTGACATCAGATGATGTCTCTGACCTCACTGACAGATGCTTCCGCACCATGAGGGAGACCCTTTTCAGGCTGTCCGGCCGTCCAAGCGAAGCAAAGGACTCATCCTAGATGCTTCTCTGGTGGTGTCACCATGTGGTGGTAGCTGAAGGGACCTCTCTATTGCCAAATAGCAAAGGAACTTCTCTTCCTCTGCAGTGACTTCTAACTCTGGGAACACCATGGACTGGCACACATGGGGTGTCGAGCCAGCGCTGAGGTTCCCCGTTGAGTGGATTTCTCTTATGGGTTCATTATCTCGCAATGAAATGTCTCCTTTTTCTGAATTTCTCAGGCATCAAACTTGTGCTACCAAAGGGCTCAATGACCAGAGAGGTGAGTTCCCCCAGCTCAGGCAGCTGGTGTGGGACAACAACGATGAAAACCTGGCTGGAAGGTGGACTCTGCCTCATGTGAGTGTCCCTGCACCTGTGTTCCTGCAGACGCAGCTAGTGCTGGCCTGGCCCTGTGCTGTCCCAGATGGAAACCACCAGGCAGCAGTTAGTGTCTGCGCAGCCTTGATGCTGTTCAAACGAGGCTGAGAATCAGGTGAAAATCATGACTCTGGCTCTTTGGCAGCACTGGGAGTGCAGTGTCTGCCCAGGGCAGCCTGGAGCAATGCGTCTGCGCAGCCTTGATGCTGTTCAAACGAGGCTGAGAATCAGGTGAAAATCATGACTCTGGCTCTTTGGCAGCACTGGGAGTGCAGTGTCTGCCCAGGGCAGCCTGGAGCAATGCCATCCGGCACAGAGAAGCTCACCAGCGGTCTCTGGGGCAGAGCCTGTCTGCCTGAGAGACACCTTTGGGTCCCAGCAGCATCTTTTGCTGAGGCTTCGTGTTGCCCAGGCACTCCTGAGCCAAGTCTATTGCTTCTAAAGAAAGCACCTAGGGCCAATAACCTCAGCTGGGTTGCAAAGGGGTGTGCGTGGGGCCAGTCAGCCTTATAGTGTCTCTTTGGGCTTGCCTGATGAAGTGCTTCTCCTCGCAGCAGTGGAGGGGGAAGCTGCAGTCAGACCAAGCCAGTATCAATGATCCAGGCAGAGTTTAGCTGAATACTGTCCAGCTTTGCCAGTTTAGTCATCTCCTGAACAAAACCTCATGCTTATTTCTACCATTCAGAGCCACCAGCTTGATTTTAAAAAAACTTCACATATCTGTTGGAGTTCTGGGCAAACCTGTCCCCTCGTGTGACTTGTTTGTGGCACATCTCTGGACAGCGCGTGTGACATGCACCTGGGTTGGCTCGGAGCTTCTTTGGTTTTGGAAAACTGCTGCCAACTCCCTGCCAGGGTCACAGTTGTGCCTGCAGTACTTGGTGCAGATGCAAAGGGCTCTGTCATGTTCGTTTTGCCACTTGTCATGGTCAGCAGTGGCCGAAAGATGGTGTCTGTCCCACATGTCTCTGTGCAGATCTCGGTGTAACTGCTGCTCTGCACAGCTTGTAAACCTCCTGCAGAGCAGCCGGGCAGGTGAGCTACGAGTGTTAACGGGGCTGGGAAAGCTTCAGCTCTGCCTTGAGGGGACCTAGGCTCCTTCCCCCGTTCAGATAAAGGGGTTTCTTCTGTGCTTTGAGGTGACAGATCTCTTGCTGGGAGCTGCAGATGTGGTGATGCCCTCTGCGAAGAGCAAGGCTGGGTCAGGTCCATGGTTCCAGGGGGTAATCTTCACCTCTAACTTGGTTTCAGGGAGGCTTTCCCTCCCCTGTGCATGGCACAGGGTGTGTAAGGTCGAGATAAGCTGCCTGGGGCTACTCGGGTAACCAATATTGCTTTTGCAGCCTATCTGGGGCTGCGGTGGTGGAATTGTGGTTATATGGCATCTTGGGGTTTAAAGCCTCAACTGGGAAAGGCAGGGGGTTCCCCTAGAGCCAGTGGTCTCCAAGGGAGGGAGCCCTTGGGCTGAGCTGGTGCTGGCAGGGGCTGGGGAGCTTTATCAGAGGGGCCTTACAGTACAGACTCAGGGGTCAGACCCACCGTGGGAGTGGGGTCAGGGTGGGAGATGGGAACTGAACCAGCACTTTGCAAGAGCAGCAGATAAAGGCCTGTGCTAGAGGTGAAACCTGGGAGAGCTGCTGGGGAGGATAACCACATCCATGGGGTGACTCCTGCAGCATCCTCCCCTGGGAGGAGGGAGCGGTGCCTCTGTGTGCAGTCGTCTGCTGTTCACTTTTAATTGGGTTGAGAGTGATGTTATGTACTTTTTTTTAAGAAAACAAAAAAAAAAAAGGTACACCTTTGGTTATTTAAATAAAGGTGACTCCTGGTCTTGTGTGGGAGCTGGGGGAGGCGGGCTGCTTGGGGAGGAAGAAGGGTGCTGACCCTTCAGCTCTTGCAGGGGGTGGGTTTGGTGATTGAGGAGGGGGGTGGCAGGTCCTTGTCCCCACCCTGTGTCCCACAGGCAGATGGGCTGTGTTTCTGCACCACAGCTTCACACTGAGGCACAGCCTGGCCTGAACAAGGAGGACAAATGCCTGCAGGGACTTGTTGCAGGGGAAGAGGAAAGTGGTGCCTGTGTGGATGGGTACCTGTGTCACAGCAGGGCCCTGGAGCGAGCACCTTCCCAGGCAGTAACATCCCACAGCCTTGGTGTGCACAGCAGGAGGTTTAATTCTGGTACAGCCCCTGTAACACTCGCTCACACAGCTCCTCCTGCAGCTCTGATCGAGGCAAGAAGGAAAATGTACCAGGTCGGTCATGTCTGCTCTGCAGTACCAGTGTCCTTGGGCTTGAGCAACCAGTGCTGGGGGGAGGTAGGCATGTGTGCCACAGGCTGATGGCACAGCGGCTGTTGGGTCTGGGAGAGAGCAGCTACCCCGACAGCTGGTGCTCGTGCCAGTGTAAACACTGCGGTGTGCCAGGCCCTGCTCCCCAATCCAGGTGTGCAGGGGCATATCCCTTCCCTCTTTGGCCCCACCCTGTTGATAGTAGAGTGGCACAGGTTTGTCCCTGTCTGCTCTGTGCTGATTATGGGAGTGTCACAGGGAAAAGTTTTCTATTAAAGCATGTAAAAACAGACTCTCTGCACCTTCAGGCCCATGTAAAGCTTCATCCTTGTTACTGCTCTGTAGGGCCTAGGGGTGGTGCAGTGGACTGGAGCAGAAGCAGGTTCTTTCAGAGCAAGCTGCTGTAGCTGCCATGCTGAGAATCGGAGAGGTACCAGCTCTCCAGTGAGAGACCAAGAGTGGACCAAGGCTGGTCCCAAAGAGCAGAACAGAAGCTGCAGGGATGGGCACCCACTCCCTGTACCAGCCAGCGTGTACCTTTGCAGGGACCAGTTGCACCCATCCCCTGCCATGATGCCTGGCTTGGGGCTGCCCCCTCTGCCACAAGACATTTTTGTCTGTGGTCAAACTCAAAACTTGCCCCTACCTTCTTCGGGTGGGAGCAGGTCAGGGGAGCATTTGGGGGCAGCTGTTCTGCCTGTGCTCTGCTGGGAGATGATATCACAGGGTAAGTAAAAGCCAGGCAAAGCTGAGCACCACAGCACTTCACCGACAGCCGGTCTCTCCAGCACAGCCAGACAGGCACTAACGGCACGAGGTAAGACATTTATTTTCTGCCTCTCCAGCAGGAAGAGGGTGAGATGCTGAGGGCTTGGAGTCCAGTTTGGAAGTAACTGTGTGACCTTTGATAAGGTGAGTTGGAAGAGAAAATGAAGGAGACACTGATGGGAAACCAGCCTTCTCCTGCTACCCTGTGCTGTCCCGTAGATGATGTGGCTTCATCCTCAGCCTGGGGCTGGAGAGTGAGATAAGAGCTATGGGTGTACTCTGCTTGCTCCAATTCCTTGGGCGCTTGGCTAGAGTTCATTCTTGCAGGAACCTGAGAAGATGAAGAAAAAAAACCGAAACAATCCAGCACTGTTGTTAGCCTGGGTTTGGTTTGTCTCTTTCCCCAAGAAGGATGAGGTTGACCTCAGCCTCTGTCAATATCACCCACACTTGCTGCTGTCCCTTTGCCAAACACCCCCAGGCTGGCTCTGTCCCACCATGTTTGGGAGCATCACTCTCCTCCCGGTGTGCTGCGGTCCTCAACAGCCTTGCCTGGGCTTGGGAAGTCCTGTATAAAGCAGCCAAGGAGGTGGGAAAGCCAGTGACAATAACACTGGCTGCTCTAGGATGGGAGGCTGGGACTGGCCTGTCCTCACTGCACAGGCAGTGGCTCTGTGTGACAGTAATTGGAAGCAGGTGCTGCTGGTCACCAAGTCCTGAGGGAGCTCCGTGGGCTGGGGAAGGGACTGTGTGGGGTGGCTGTGGCACAGCTGAGTTGGGGGTAATTCAGACCAAGGGGGGCTAAAATGGTTGCAGCTTAAAGAGATCCAATCTTGTGCAGTCACTGGTCGTAGAAAATGATTTTCAGTCCTTATGCACATCCCCACAGGGCAGATAACCAGAGGGTTCAGTTGTATCTTAGCATTCAGTGGTGAAATGCTTTGCAAGGCACAGAAAGGGGATGGCTACTTAATGCTCTGTGGGATGCCCTGCAAGCCCTAGTGCTTTCTGGAGTACAAAAGGACAGTCTTGTGTCCTCCAGGGACTTCCAAGACCATGAGAGGGACAAAAACAAGTTTTGCTTGCCAGAACAGGCTTGGCAGAAGTTAATTTCAGGACTTTGGAGTCATCCCTTGGAATAAATCCATGTTACCTTGTGATACTGCTCACATTCCTCTGTGCTGTCACTAATAATATGTACAGGGCACTACTAAGAAACTCAGTCTCCTGGAACACTCAGTGGTTCTGATGATTACTCCTTTCTGAGATGCTTTTTTTTAAGTGTCTATTTGCAGGTACTTAGTCTTCAAACAAGTTCTTTGAAGTCTTTTATATCTAAGCCATTACTGCAAGCAGTGAACTGGGACTGGATATGCCCTGAAACACAGTTTCCTGTCAAGTCTTTCCAAGCACCCTCACCCCTCTGCCATCAGCACCAGGCTGCTGCTGAGTCAGCTCCTGAGCCAACCCAGCCCTGCTTAGTTTCTCAGTGCATTTCGCTGGAATTATTTAATGGGAAAACGAGCTGCAAAGAGCTGCCTATCAAAATAGTGTTCATATGGTTTATGCTCTACTCTGAGTCAAGCTGCAGTGCTCCAGGGAGACTGTTGCACACACCTTGGGGACCTGAGGGGACACTGCCCTGCTCTGCGGTGCCGTGGGGGACCGTGCCAGGCAGGACCCTCCACCTTCAGCCATTTCACACATGACAGATCTCTCCAGTGTCTCTTCTTCAGAGTTTGCTACTTAGGAGACTTTCTCTGGTCCACTGCTTGGCAAAGGACTGCTTTGTAGACTTCAAAAAGAAATGCCTAAAACTTCCCAGGCTCGTAAATCTGCCAACTTCTGCACGCTCCCTAAACTTTCCTGATTGACTTTTTGGACTGTTAGTTTCCTAAGAGTTGGGGTTTCTTTTATCGAGACTAAGTTATAACGGTACAGGAAGGGAACACAGCTGGTGAGGGTGCTGATTGCAAGACATGACCCACTGCTCATAGTGGGCCCCCTCTGCTTCTGCCCCAGAGCCATGTTTCATGTGCCAGTCTTACGATTTTTGCTGCTACAAGGGCAGTCAGATGGTGCAGCCATAGAAACAGCTTTGAAATGAAGCTAATAGGCTGTTTGTATTCATCTTTTATTAATTACAGGCTGCTGAGCTTGAGGGAGATATAGATTAATAGTGGCATATGTGTTACTGATCTTGCTGGTCCACATCTGCTCATCATGGCCAGTGTGGGTGGAGTGTAACCCTGCTTTTTCCAGGTACTTACATGTCTCCAGCCGCTCCTCAAGGAAGGAGATCTGCTCGCTCAGGGAGTCAATCCTGTCCAGTTGCTGAAGGGAGTGGGACAGCCGGCTGATGGGGTCTGTGCCGACGTCCTCCGGTGCAGATGGCATGAGGTTGTGGAAGGGGGCCAGCACCAACTGGAGTTTCTGCAGGGAGAAGAAGAACCATGAGCGTGTCCTCCCCAGCCACAAGGACCACCCGGCAGGACATAGCAGGCTGTCTGCCAGGGTGCACCCCACCGGGGCAGCTCGCGGGGCTTTGGTTGTGTTCAAAAGGCCACTGGGCTGGAACAGCTGCTGTGTGGGCGCTGCCGGCAGCGTAGAGCACAGCTGGGATTGCTGCGGCACAAGGCCAGCACGATGTTAAAAATAGAGCTGGGGCAGAGGGAAACCCTGGCTGTGACAGCCCAGGGTGGGAACTGGCTGAGCACGGTCTTGAGCTGCGACACAGCAGAGAGGGCAGGACAGGGCAGAGGGGACCTCACCTGCTCCAGCGCCTCCACTCTGCTCTTCAGGTCTTTCATTTCTTCCTTCATTTCACTGGGGGGACCTGAAAAAGTGACCAAGAAAAAGTCAGTGTGTTAAAGCCCATTGCCTGAGGTGAAGTGGAAGGTGCTGGGGAGAGGTGTTGCTGCAGGGCCAAGCTCTGCTGCTTTCTGCTCCCCTCTTAGTGAGCCCCCAGGGTCTGCCCTGCTGGGACCAGCCCCTGGAGCATCAACTGGATCCAATGCCCGCTGCAAGCACAGGCACCTAGTCCTGCTGCTAAAGCACACAAGCCTCTCCTTGCTGCTGGAGTACCTGCAACAAAGTGGAGAATTTTTCAGGCAGTGGGGTGATGTTTAAAGGATAAGATGTCTTGTGAAGCCTGGCCTTTTGTGCCTGTGTTGTCAGATCAGTTAGTACCCGGGTCTGCCCTGTCCCATGGTGGGCACAAAGGCTTGTCCCTGCTAAGGGCCTTGGACAGGGAATAAAGACAGGTGGCTTGTGGGGCACGTGCAGACAGTGCCTGGCTCTTCCAGGTGTGTCCCTTGTGATGCCCGTGCTGGCCACAGCGCATTATTACTCACGGTACGAGTTTGAAGTGTCACAGCGCGTACCAAAAGTAATAATGAGCCGTCACCAGTGCTGCCCACTGCTCCTCGTGGCTCCAGACTTGCCCTGCGGGAAGGATGATGATGATGACAGAGAGAACAGCTGCATCCTGGCCACCGCGCACCACGGATGGGCTTTGTCACCCTTGCAGATGGAGAAGTAGCTGGATTTGTGCACGGAGAGGTTATTTGGGTGGTAGAGGGACTTCCAGGTCACTGGGAATAAAGCTGAGAGGTTCTGGCTGTTGTCCCCTCTCCTGTTTCCTGCCAGTCCTGCTGCAGCCACCCTGTGATGCCGAGTGTTAATCCCAGCTTTCATCAAAAGCCCTGAGTAGCCAGGGCTGTCCTATGACGGGGGACAGGTTACCTGTTTGGCTGAAGGTCCCTGGCTCTGGGGCTGGCACCAGGGGCTGGCAGGCCTTGTTATCAGCAGCGAGGCTGAAGCCGTCCCAGCAGGCACAGCGGTAGCTCCCGGCTGTGTTGATGCAGATCTGACTGCAGCCATGGCTCCGACCAGCACACTCATCCACATCTGCAACCACAGGTAGGGCTCGGTGAGGACAGGGGTGGTGAGGAAGTGCTCACCAGGGGTGAGGGGCACAGAGGGCTCAGCCCCACAAATAGGGATCCTGTTCCCCCCACAGAGCCATACGGGCTCATGCAGGGTGGGAATGCGATGGGACCCCAGACTGAGCTGGTGTTTGTGCTGGGCACAGCTCTGGGTGCTCTCAGTGCTGCAGGGTGTGAGCACAAGACCCGCCA